GAAAATCATCTTTAAAAACTGGTAGATGATTTTGTAAGAGTTGTGTAATTTTGACATTAGCGATTAATATAAGATCGTAGTCTTCGTTTTCAAGTTACGTCACAGCGGCCATCTTGKWTGAACTTACAACAAAGGATTTCTCATTRGTATCTATTGTTCATTCCTCCAACATKGTCYACTATCTTTTGAATTTCATGGGAATGGTAAAGAGGGAAGAGTAAGTGCTTGCATTACTTGGCAAGCCACAGTGATACTGGAGTTTCGGCAACATTTTTTCGTAGCCTTATAAAGTACAGATGATATAATGAGGCAAGACATTTGTTTTTTTTTTTTTTGTTTTTTTGAATTTGTATTATATAAACGCACACTATAAATGAAATTCCGACTCATTGCAAGTGTGAAATTAGAGATTTGAGGACATCATTGATTTCGAGGCCTCGCGTGACCTGGAATTAATCCAGGCTGTTCAAGTGCAACTGATTCGTTTTGGGTAAACACTCCTTTTTTGGAATTGCATCGAACGCCTATTGAACTTCCGCGTCAAGTGTGGAAAACGAACACTACAAAGACGAAGCCTTTATATCTGCACCAAAGATGTATTGGCTTTTGCTCTCTACCTTSCTTAGCCTGGGAACAATGGCTAATGGTAAGCCAGAGTTTTATATACAGCTCTTTTATGTAAGTTTGTGGCTCGCACGATCAGTGTTGAAATTGCTCAATGCCTACAAACCTCTATGCGGATGAAAAGTTGGAACGGTCAATGCCTGCAAACAAAAATCAAAAAAGCAATCTTCTAAGAGTTTGTTTTAACAACTGGAGCCGATAAGTATCTTGTATCATTCATGTACATTGTATGCCAAATCCAGTGGAATTCATTAATGACGAAATTATTCCTTTGAAACGAGTAACCGAGGAGATATAAGTAACGAGAGCAATGCGAAAAGCTAGTGATTGTTTTTCAAGTTTCACTACATAGAAATTGAAAAAAGCTACCTAGAAAAAAAAAGAATTAAAGCAGAAATATACGATACAAAACTTATTTACATGTGACGCAGCAAATTTGCTATTTAAGCTTAGCATCAGAGCTTCTCTTATTCCATGGCCTGTTAATTGTTTAGTGCGCGGCAAATTAGCAGTGCTTAAACCTTGTAGAATACTAATAACTCGAAACTAAACTTGAAAAGCAAGAATGTTGGTCGACAAAATGAGTATTTTCGTATGTGATACTCCTCGGCTTTGCAACGCTTTGCCTTTTTTAGCAATACAAATCCGGGTTTTTTTTAGAGAAAAACTGTCAAAAAATAAAAATAAAAAATAAAAAAAATGTCATGATTGTCACGATACAGGTGCGAACGATTTGTTTTGGATAAACAGTCCATTTTTGGCATTGCACGGCACGCCTACAAAGTCTCCGCGTCAAGTAAGGGCGATATATATATTTTTTCGTTATTTCGCTTTGGACGCGACAAAGCTAAAAAGTCTTTCTATCACGAAAGATGAATTTGCTTTTGCCCTTAACCTTGCTAAGCCTAGGATCAATAATTATTGAAGGTAAGCATATGTGCAAGTTCCTGCCAATGGAAATCTAGTGGAGTTCATGAATTTAAAAAAAATCCTTCCTTGTTTTGATACATATGGAAAGGAACCTACATGAAACAGGGTTATGTCTAATAAAATCCCGATAAGGTCAAGATATGTGATTATGGATTGGCGTTAATTAATAGGTCTCGCGCTCTCGATAGATTTCCCTCTATCATTTTATAGTTTTCTTTTCTTTTTCTTTGTTTTTATTTCGACACAGCAATTATCTTGTGTCAAGAACTGTAAAAGGCAAAACCAGTCGAATTCGTGAATGAAAAAACAATCATTTTTTTGAAACGAGTAACAAAGCAATGATTGATAATTAGGGCGAGTACTGCAAAAATTGAATGATTGTCAATAGTTTTTGATGGTCAGTGATGGATTCATGATATAGCAAAAAAAAAACCATTGTCTTGCGTCCATACCTTTAAAAAAAGCTAGAGTAATTTCACATTATGGTCAATTTTGACTTCACTGATTTTTATAACCAGTTCATCTTGTAAAACGAATTTTTTTCCAAAACTTACCTGATTTTTATTTTTGTAAATTGTCATGCGGAAATAAAGTATTGATGGTTTAATGTAGCAAGGCAAGTTTTTTGAATTCGTATTTTTTGATATAAATAAAACTGATAGGCAAGGTTTCGTCTTATGAGAAACTCAAATCAAAACAGATTTTGACATTATGCGGGAAAAAATCAGAATTATGCGGATGTTTTTGAAAAGATTATTATGTTGGAAAAAATACCAATTATGCTGGAAATTATGCGTGATAACGTCATCGCTTTAAAGTTATGACTACTTTCAGTTATGAAACTCAGCTGTTTCAATTCTTTTAATAGATAGATTTAAAGTACAAAAACGGACAAAAACACTTTTCAAGCAAACCACAGCTGCGGGCAATTTATACATAAATTTATTTGGAAAATTACGTGGGGATTACTAGAAGGAATGGCCGATTATGTGGATTTACAGCGGGATATAATCTAAATATCGCTATATCAAGCGGTCAAATGGATTTGAGGACATCATTAATTTCGAGTCGTATTATCACTAATGCTCAGCGTGACCCAGAATTTATGAATGAATGTGCATTTGAGAAATGACACTCTGGTCGACTCAAAAGGAAACAGGATGAAAAATATAGGAATGGAGTGTGTATTTACTGCGAACAACTTATAAGGGTTTGTGCTAATTACATATTCCTAGCACAGAATGAATTTGGAAAGTATGTAAATACTAATAACTACATAATTACATCAAATATTCCCTGAATCATGTCAAGATATGTTTTAATACCATAGAATTCTTAATTAAGTATCAACAAGACTTGACATTGTTGAACAGTCAGTCTTGAGATGTTGGGTTAAAAATGAAAATCGAGCATACATTAATTTTGAAATTTGTCAGGTAAAAATGCATGAAATGACATAATGTCGCCATCCTGTCGCACTGATTTTCTGTAACAGCTGTTTCACATATCCAAGTTCAGATACAACATTGGGCTTCCTGTGTTGCACTAAAAAAACCTCCTGTATGAATCAAACATCAATAATAAGTATAGTCTTTTTTGACGCTAAAGTACAAAATTTAATTTTGATAGAGCTATTGGTCGTACTAGTGAGACGAAATAGAACAACGTAGCTATCCATGGAAGATTTCTTCCGGTCATCACTCTAACTAAAGAACATAACTTTCAATATAATTAATAATTAACTAGATACTCTCTGATATGCCCCGTGTTGCTAGGGAGAGTTTGAACTCGTTTTGATGTTTGCGTTGGATACTTACTTTGGGTGTCCAATAACACAGGAAGCCCAAAACATGTGATGTAACAAATTAACCATGATGCTTTTTATTATGCTGAAGAGCCCAAATGTAAAAATGTTCAAAATCCAATTTTTATTCCTAAAAAAATATTGAATGACGTGTGATAAATTTCAATAAAAAAATTAGAATAAAGCACGAGTCGCAAAGTGTGATATAATAGTCTCCTTCACGGATACCTGCGCCATCTTGAAAGGTAGCCGTGCCTTTGCACCGAAGCGAGACGATCGTTGAGCGTGCAATGATAGATACCTGTGAATAATTGTCTATAGGTGTGAAAGAAGGTTTCTATCATTGCACGCTCAACGGTTGTCTCGCTTCGATGACAAGGCACGGCTACCTTTCAAGATGGCGCAGGTAACCGTGAAGGAGACTATTTAAACTTATCATACGGCACACGGTGGATAATATATTGATGCTAATCTTACTTCTTAGTTTCATTTATTAACCCGCGAAGCAAAATGCCAAAATGGAAGTGTAAAAATGTAACTGCTGGGGAATTGTTCTTTCAAAATTTTGTCTCGGCAAAAAAAAATCTCTCTCTTTTTATATATCATTATATGTGATATATAATGTGTTATGGTTTTGTCATAAGAGACGCTAAATAATTTTTTTAAATTTGATTATTTGAAAACTTCAGCAAAGGGGAGCAGTAACCTTAAGATACTTTCATTTGTTGATCTGCAGGGTGCATTACTAATCTCAGCGGAGACAGTGGAGAGCTCTCGATCGATAAAGAGTACTTAAGCAGGGCGTCAAACTGTTCGTGGACAATTGGTAAAGGCAGAAGTGATATCGACTTCATAGTCATCAAATTCGAACCATTTGATCTGGGAAATCATTGCTTGTAAGTAATGTATTCTGGAGTGTTTGGTAAAAAAGCCTTAAAAAGTGCATTTCAGTAAGTTAAACTAAGTTAAAAGTAAGCAGGATATTGAAAGTGAGGAAACTAGAAAAGCTTGGGTAAAATTCGGTTTTGTTTGTTTGTTTCGTCTGTTACATATGCTTCGGCATAACATTTATGCATAAAGTAAACGTTGAAATGATAAACCCATATAGATATATGAAGATTCTTTTTTTATAATGTTTTATTTTTTCTTTATTTTTCTTTCAATAGGGTCTGGTTTTGAAATCCGGTGTATAAGCAACAATAGGGATTTTAGCTTTTATACGATCAATTGCTTTCACCTTATCAGCTCAGTCATTTTCTGCTCTTGAAATAAATAGTTACAAGTTGACATAATTCTACATTCCGTTTTCTTTCCTGCAGTGAAGATCAATACCTTTACGTGGAAGTCTCTGATGTGAATCACGAGTTTAAAGTTAAAGAATGTGGTTGGGCGCGGTCATTTGGAGTTGTGATTAAAAGGCGCTCGGCAGTTGTCAGATATTACTCGGAGATAGGTTACTTATACCATATGCATTGTGGACGGTATCAATGCAGCGACAATAATCAAAATATTCGTCTGTCTTTCCATGTTATTTCAAAGAAATTGGCAGGTCAGTACATTTATTTCACTATTCTTCAGTTTTTGTTGCTTTTACTGTTGTTGCTGCTGCTACTGTTGCTGTTGTTGTTGTTATTTTTGTGGTTTGTGGTGTTTGTGATGAAGCTGTTGTTGTTGTTGTTGTTATTTTGTTTTGTTCTAAAAAAAGATAAAATAGACCAAAATGGTCGTTGCTCATTATCATAGCTTTTTCCTCAACCAAACACAAAATAATATCTGAAATACTTGCTATTTGCAGTGTTAAGTTGGCCGTGCGTGAGGTCTGGCATTTTTTTGTAGACCGAGAAATACAGGTCAATAAGAGTTTTATTACATAGCTTTTCTATCAAAGATTATGTAGAAGAATTACTTGATATATAGGAATTATCTCACTGGTGCTTTTTTTGTCTCCCTATGTCCAGAATGTAGCGCTTTTTTACATATATAATGTTATTAATATCCTTGTCCGTGTAGATTTGTCAGTTACTTTTCGAGAATGTCCTTCAATGTAGGATTACAGTTAAAATGAGTTATTAGGCCAATAGAATGAACCTATTTGTTCACATGCATGGATGGATCTTTATAACGCTACTTGAATGAAAATGCCCTTATTTCAAAACTTCAAGCAATACAAATATATTACTCATTTACATCTATTAAAAACAATCAGGAAAATATTCGTTTTGGAGTTATCCCACATCAGAGAAATTTTGATTCAAGAGATGGAAGAACAAAAGGATGTAGTAAATGACGTCATCTACTCCAACATTTTTTGCCCAAATTATTAAGGATTTGTATCAATATCTTCTTGAAATCTGTTGCTTCATGATTATTACATCCATATGGATAGGTCTATTTGATTCCCAAGTCTTTTCTAATGTTTCGCAATTCTCGTCCAATTAGCCCTCTATATGTACGGACATCGTGTCAGACAATTAGGATGCAGGAAATTTATAAACCATACATCTTTTCCTATGCTTCAAAAGTCTTATTTATACTTATTTATTTTTAAGGTTCGAGTGCAAAGAACTGGAAACCAACTGTAAAACAATCCAAACCTGGTGTAGTTACCATTAATTGGGATCACTCGACGCTGCCATCAAAGAACTATATTGTTATACCGTTGTATGACGACTTTACTACTTCAGGAGAGGCATTGATGTATACTATTGAACATAGAAATGACCATTCCGTAGCAGTGGAATACCTTAAACCAGAAAGCTCATATTCGTTTAAAGTCATTGCTTTCGATTCTACGAATACGAGGGGGACCTTCATCGAAAGCACTACATCGTCTATTATAATGAATAATGGTACGTGATAAGTATTACCTACAAGTTTATTATCCGAGAAGATGAGGCAGTGAAAGAGTAAAGTATCTTGCCCAAGGACACAACGTGATCGCCCGGTCTGGGAATCGAACCCGGGCCTTTCAGACCTGAGTCCGGTCCCCTAACCACTAGACCATCACGCCTCTCCAATGCAGCCAGACTGTTACCTTGACCTCACTCCCATCAATACTTTCTTTTTCATGCATTTAAGCACCATATTAATTAACATGATTAAACAATTACCAATTCATGATTTTAAAAACTCACTATACCAAAAGCTAGGTGTTATAAGAAAAGCCTTTTCTTTTCAATCAGCAAAGCAACAAAAAACAAAATGAAAACAAAAAAAAAAAAACAAAGCAAAACAAAACAAAACAATGCAAATTAACAACAGCAACAACAACATAAAAAAAATGAAAGAAAGGTGCTATGCCAGTGTTCTGGGCTTATATGTTGGCGAATAAAAAATTTAATTTCGCCCAATGGCAAGAAATCTCTATCCATCGCTCCTGGATTACGGATTGGCAGGATTCAATATTCTTTATTTTAATTTCCATGAAAACTTTTGCAAAAATTTTACAATCGGAATGGAAAGCAATCAAAAATTCTAAAAAAAAAAATTACTTCTCGAAACACTGTAACACATTACTACAAGTACAGCCTTTTGCAAAAATTATGAGAATTGTCGAAATATCTAAATATCATAATATATCAAGTGCATGGTGGGTAATCCCGCGCGATTCCCTTTGTCTTTTGTCTTTGTAGTTTAGTTTCTTTTTTGGCGAAGGACTTGTCCGTAGTTATTTGGTTAGGTATTATTTTATATTTTAGATATTTGGTTAGGTACAGCCTTTTGCAAAAATTATGAGAATTGTTGAAATATCTAAATATCATAATRTCRAGTGCATGATGGGTAATCCCGCGCGATGCCCTTAGTCCCTTGTCTTTGTAATTTAGTTTTTTTTTGGCGACAGACTTATCCGTAGTTCTGAACATTTTCTCGATGTCAACAATGAATTATTCTAGCAAAGCCGCATGTTCCGGACAATATATGGATATGGATATTATGATATTTAGATATTTAGACAATTCTCATAATTTTTGCAAAAGGCTGTATATTTATATATATAAAAATATCTCATAATTTGTACAAAAGGCTATATATATATAAAACTCTGATATTTGGTTTCTGATTATAGCTTTGTTGTTGCTGTTGTTGTTGCTGTCTTCAGTGAGTGACTTGGGGATAAATGGTTCCCTTCTATCGGAGCTCCGTTTCTAACTGAATATTATATAATCATATTATAATTTGTGTATTAGACAAGCGTGTCACTTTTTTCAGGTTCGATAAGACTTATGGGTGGAACGCTATCCAACGAGGGAAGAGTTGAAGTATTCAAAGACGGTTTATGGAATAAGATATGCTTTAATGATTTTTGGTGGAATCGCAAGACTGCTAAAGTTGTTTGTCGATCGTTGGGTCTACCCAATCTCTTTAATGTTGTGCATGATAGAGACTTTATGGGGACGTTATTTCCAATGCATTTGCTTAAGTATAGTTGTAATGGAACGGAGACAAGTCTCGAAGATTGCAAATATACACAATCCGATTGTAAGGACTACAGAAGACATTCTGGAGTAATATGTGGAAATCCACCTGGTAATTAAAATTTAAGGGGAAAAGTGGCCAGCAAAATATAATTTTGACCAAAGGCGGTATCTTTATGTACAGTATTGCTGTTACAATTGCAATTTTAAAGGGCTACTTGGACGAAAATTGCGAAACATTAGAAAAGACTTGAAAATCAAATAGACCTATCCATATGGGTGATAATCATGAAGCAACAGATTTCAAGAAAATATTGATGCAAATCCTTAATAATTTGGGCAAAAAATGTTGGAGTAGATGACGTCATTTACTCAATCCTTTTGTTCTTCCATCTTTTGAATCAAAATTTCTCTGATGTGGGATAATTTCAAGACAAATATTTTCCCGTAATTGTTTTTAATAGATATAAATGAGTCATATATTTGTATTGCTTGAAGTTTTGAAATAAGGCCATTTTCATGCAAGTAGCACCTTAATCATGCAGCAATGTGTACATAATGAAAGTGCAAACGAACTTCGAATAGAGTTTTTTTAAGTCGTGAATTTATTTATCTGAACGTCACAATAACTTAATAAATTGTCACAAAATAGCCTGAGTAGCGGCTAAAAAATCAACAAAACAACGAAAGCATGCAAAATTGTGCCAAATTATAAATTCAAAACCATGCGAGCATGCGTTGCCTTTTCAGTATATGGAACATAATATCCCATATGTATCATAAGACTCGATACTAAATCTGATAATTTCAAAATTGGTGCTGGGTCTTTGTAAGGACTGATAAGTAGTTTTCTTAAAAAAAACTTTCATCCTTGTAGTCCGGCAAGCCATAATCTGCAATATTTTCAATATTGCTGTCTGTCTTGAAGCCGACAGCAATATTTTAAATATTGCAGCTGGCTAACCTGTTTCTGTCTGCATTCGTTAGTCTAATGCAGAGGGAAAATAATGGGTTACAATCGATATCAATAATTATTAGTTCTTGATAGTCGTTACTCTCTGAGCCAGAAAACTTTAAGCTTATATGAGGCAATAAGCAATACCCAAGAGACCACTTTAACAAGCAAGGTAATCTCTTTCTTTATTCTTTGTACTGTTCTGGTCCAGTAATAGTGTTTAAATAGTGTCTTTTTGTTAGTCTACCAAGTATTTAGTTCTATATTTCATGGTTCAAGTGACTCTGCTCTTCTTAATTTTTTTGAAGTATTTAGATGTTATTACATTATAGTTAACACAAGATAAGAGATTTAAAATCTCTAATATCTTGACAATCTATTAAGTAAGACTTTAGGTTCAGAACAGTTTTCCAGAAATTCCTTTTGTTTACCATTCAGTCACAAATGAATGAGTTTAGACATTTCATTGACAAAGTGACAGAATATGAAATGGTATAAGCGAAAGCTAAAAAAAAAAGATAATTACTGATTATACTCCTTCTCTATAATATAATACGTGTTCTATCATTATTTTTTTAGTTTTCCGTCAAAATATAACTGAGATGACTGGCGTTATTACAAGTCCTGGATATCCATCTTTCATGATGCAAGCTGATCACCGCTGGACATTTACGCCAAACTTGACACAAGGACGCGTGGCTCTCTATTTTGATGTGCTAGATTTGAGGCGGCGTTATGATGGGTAAATTACTGTGAAATACTACGCATGACCCTCTGATTGGCTCAGAAATGAGTTAGCTTATAGCATGTTTTTATATGTCTGTGACGTCACCATCCACGAAAGAAAAACGACAAAAAAGATAAACATCGCGAATTAAGAAGGAACTTGACCATGTCCATATATTGCTGTTCCAATGTCTCGTTTTCTAAGGCGTAATTTGTCTTTTATATATTTATTGTTTAATTCCAATATGCGCAATCTTTGTCTTTTGTTTTCATTAGAACAAGCAACTTGCATACATAAATCAAATTCTTCTTCTTTTCTGGGTTATATAGTGTATACTTTCTTCTAGATTTTTAGTGCATAAAAGTTATTAATTATGCCCTATTTATAAACTATCTAAAGTTTTGTACATACGACACAATCAAGATTCGTTGACATTGTTGCTTGCCCTTTTCTGCTTCAGTGGTACAAATTCTAGTGCAATTTGACAATGCATATTAAGTTTTACTTCATGAGAAAATGGCATCCCCTCTACGTTTTGAGTGCATATAGACACTATGCATTGATTTTAAAGTGTTTCAGCTTGGTTATTTTTCATGTTATCCAGTGTAATATAAGTTGTGCGCATTTCGCACTTTGGCAGATACTAATGTTATGTTTACGTTGTTTCTTTAGTAACAGCCGTGTTTACATCCAGGATACAAGTAAAGTGTTTCGCAATCACTTGTATGATGGATTTACGACAGTACTGAGGTCACCAGGTCAACTTAAGTTCTACTCATCTTTTTCAACTCGTCGGGTTACTAATAGACAGTATGGCAAGGGAATGCGAGTGAAATACTTTTCCTATAATGAACCAGGTAAGCAAAATTGTCACGTGACGCGAGGTGTATAATCCGCATAGGAAATATAATCTGATTGTCGATCATGCTTGTAGCGATGTTCTTCAGTGAAGGTACATAGAAAAACGGGAGCCAGTAGATGTGCACACCATAACAGTCAATTAGATAAGTCTGACACTTTTCCATAACCTGCTATTTTATAGTGCCTCTTCTAAACAATTGGATCATATCATTTTCGAACTACAACTATGACAGAATCACTGCAAATTGGACTCAAATTAATGTTAAAGGCTATGGTATTTTTGGATTTTTGATATCCTGCAATTCAACACAAGATTGGGCTAACGAAGCAGTTTACGGGTTTGGAGAAAACAACTCAACATCTGTGACTTGTAATGGGCTTATTGGGTACACTAACTATGACGTGTACGTGTTGGTGATGTTAAAGAAAGAAAGTACTGGGACTTGTACGGCATATAAGAGTTTAACAGCGTCAATAACAACTCCTGAATCATGTAAGCTATTTGCAATTAATTGAGTTTCAATTCGCTGTCAGAATTTCTCAATCATAATTTGTTCTTCCTATATTTTTATCGTTGTTGTTGTCGTCGTCGTTGTTGTTGTTCTTTCTCTTCTTACCCCGCCATTTACCCTTAGCATGCCCGCCTTAAATGTTCCCCATTCTTTCAATGTTTCCTTCATTATCTTCTACAGGTCTCTCTATATTTCCTTTCGAATCATAACATCTATTGAAAGATTATTGACTTGTTCTGTTTTTATTACTTGATCACGCTTTCATTCAGACACGATATCTATTAAATGTTTATTTGTCGATAACAAAACCAAAAATTATTATTATTATTATGTAAATTATTGTCTGCATCCAAAAATAATAATAAAATATAAAAAAAGAACAAAACGAAAAAGGGACGGGGTCCGAATTTCAAAATCTAATTAAACTAGACGCTCTTWGAGCGTGAAGTCGGGCTAGCGATCCGCACATGCGAGTGCTTCTGATGCATAGCTGATGCATTCCGATGAGATCACAGATACTACATTTGTAAACGAGTAGCTTTTTAATCACATAAAAGCGCAAGTAGCATGAAACAGTTACTAAGGATCATGATGTTCGTGCATCCATAACGTTTGAGCTTCCGGTCATGTCATAACACAGCCAACCCAGTAGTTCATCATTAAATACTTCCGGTTTCGACGTCTCGAATTCTCAACTTCCGGTATCCAAACGCGACATGACACATAGATAGGCAAAAAGGTAAAACTCAAGTCGACCTAGCCTACGGCTAGCCCGACTTATAATGGTTCCAGAAAGAATAACCCCATCATGTGAGAGATCACCATATAAATGGCTTACTGAATAAGTTTCATGAGGTTTGAACTAATCACAATAAAGTTACGGACATCCAAACCATGCCAAACTTACAAAGAAATGTATTCTTTGTAATTTTAATAATTTTTGAAAAATTCTATTTCCATTTCTAATGACTTAAACTTGCGCAATCTTTGAACTCTAGCTAATTTGTATTTGCTTTATCTATCGACAGCAGATTTCTGTGAGTTTGTATCGCTTAAAAAAAGTCTGTCCCAGGCCCCTGCTCGTTTTTTCATCGGCCAATTGAATTCAATTTGCGTTCTTTTTTTTTCGTTTCTTAGCTCCCAGTATTAGTCCTCAAGGGGATTACTGCACTGATGTTACACCAAATACAGCAGTTATTGGCTGGAACTCACTCCACAGAAAAGATGCTCATGGTGTTCTTCTTGGATATACTGTACAACTCTACCGTTATTTCACTAGCACTTATGTCAAAGAAATAAAAACCAATGATACATCGGTGATATTTAGAGATCTTTCACCTGCGAACGAATATAGAGCGGAAATTAGAGGCTACACTGCATCTGGAACGGGACCATATGCAAGCCATTATTTTTCAACAAGTAAGGCTTGGTCTAAAGGGAGTCTGCCTCAATTTGTAAATGAGAGGCCTTCTTTACCTACATCTTTGACCCTGTATATGTGCATCCTTATATGAAAGTCGTACGACAGGTCCAAATTTTGTTTAGAGTGTCAAATAGAAGATATTGCTTGGGCGCGCGGAGATACTGATGTTCGGGTATTGAAAAGATCTCTAACGAGATCGAGGCATAGCGAATGAGATAAAAAAAAGAAATTCGTGTCTACATGAAACCATGTGTCTGTTTATCATATAATTACTTCTGAAAGAAAATTATGGTGTAATATATATAATTGAACAATTTTATTTAACTCCAATATATTGAGATACCACGAATGTGATATTTTCACTTGTGCAGATAACATCTAGAAATCTAGGTACTTCATGGATAATTATAGACGATAAACATGGATCTGCGTTTACTTACATTTCTTAATCAAATGTCAACAAAACCGAATGTTTATTGTGTTTAGGATGACGGTACCTTTTAATTCTTCTTTTTCATGATTTAACAGAGTGTGGAGGTACTATAAAAAAACAACTGCATGGCAAGATACAAATTGTGGATGTTAATGTTTGGTCTGCAACCTGTATTTGGAAAATTATGGCACCCACTCCAAACACGCTGATCTTACTCAGTCTGGAATCGCTGGATATACCATTATCCTTTGGTTGCGAGTAAGGCACTAATGCGCATGTTGTATGTCAAAAAATAAATAAATTACCTCATTAGGAACTAGTCAGCAATTAGCTAATGAAATTAAATTTCGATTGGAAATCGAGGGACTCATCCAATCAATGGGAATAAAAGTTTCTTTGCCCTCCCCTTGCACAGAGAATAATTAACAGTTAGACCTCGAGGTCGAGTGGACTACGAGCTAATAGCCCATGAGGCCGAGTCCGCGAGGCCGAATGGGCTATTAGCTCGTTGTCCACGAGGCCGAGAGGTCTAATTGTTTTAGTATAAACATACTAATCGGTCARATAATGAAAACAAATTGAAATATCTTTAAAATAATTTATAATTTATAATTTATTTATTTTGATTTTCCCGCGAGTGGTCTATCACAAATTAGACCATTAATAGAGTAGCCAATCACAGCGCAGTATGAGTGATAGACCATTAGTATGTTTATACTAAAATGCTACATAAGCGCTTTCGCAACTGCCTACAATCGATTTCATACGATTGACAATAGTATGGAGGTACTTAGCATTGCCATATTTAAACTATAAACGTAAACGCCGCATGAATGTAATTATAATGTATAGTTTAAAACACGATCTCGAGTGTTTTAAACGGCTTCAAAAACTCCAACACTAATTTGAAACTCAAATCCGTTAAAATTCTTGGAGAAATTGCTGTTTTGGGATAAATGGGGCAAACTGATCATGCTCGAATCACTTTACAAAGCACTCTTGTCATCGTCCCACATTGAATACGCATAAAGTAAAATAGAACCGCATGTGACCAAATAGGCTCATTCTATTGGGCTAATAGCTCATTAATTATGTATGAGTTTTTGAAATATATCATAATACTCGATGTTAATTGCTTCCCCTAAGGGACTCCTACTTGACCATTAAGGACATCAAAGGAAATTCAGCCCATGGAAGATTGTGCGGCTCAAGGCATTATTTGTCTTTTGTCTCATTTGGCTTTGCTGAAGTAAAACTTTATTTTAGAAGATCACGAAGGTCGACCCATATGACCTCCTCTTTCTTCATGCTTGAAAGTGGACTTGGAAACGGTAAGGTTTTACTTTTCAGTGTTTTCACATTATTCAAATATTTCGTTTATGGCTG